TTTCCCTTGCACACACAGCACACATCCGCGCATCCACGCTTGCTCATGCCCACCGGGCCTTCTTTCCACCCATTCCACTGCACCCGCGCAGTCCGCACACCTCTCCGCATCCACGCTCGCTCATGCCCACCGGGCCTTCTTCCCACCCATTTCCACCCTTCCCTTGCACCCACACCGCCGCACACATCCGCGCATCCACGCTTGCTCATGCCCACCGGGCCTTCTTTCCACCCATTCCATTGCACCCGCACCGTCCGCACACCTCTCCGCATCCACGCTCGCTCATGCCCACCGGGCCTTCTTCCCACCCATTTCGACCCTTCCCTTGCACCCACACCGCCGCACACATCCGCGCATCCACGCTCGCTCATGCCCACCGGGCCTTCTTCCCACCCATTTCCACCCTTCCCTTGCACCCACACCGCCGCACACGTCCGCGCATCCACGCTCGCTCATGCCCAGTGGGCCTTCTCCCCACCGATTTCCACTCTTGCCCTTGCACCCACACTGTCCGCACATGTCCGTGCAACTCAGCTCGCGCCCCGCGCGGTTAGCAGACTAAACGAGATCCCAAGTATCGAAGATGCTTTTGGGAAAAACATCACAGGCAACCAAGGCTGCCAAAAAAAGGCCATCACAGGCAACCAACGGTGTTCAGTGGGAAAGCTTGAAAATTATCCATACATCGACTATCATAGACTATAGAGATCAATGCAGATGTTTCAAGTATCCACATGGCCATTGTTACTAGGCAATCATCTTTCTGCACTCATTCAAAATATGCATCGGCCCATGCTATCGCATACCGTCCAGGTTGCAGCGTCCGCCGACATAAACAAACTCCACTTCGGAGCCAATCATAGAAAACAGCAATGTCGGCTCCGCAAGCACAAGCAAGTGACGGGAACGAGAAACAAGGAGCCAAATGAAACCAGGAGCCAAATGGCCACACTGGATACAGGCAGTGGCCGAAGGTGAATCTTCAAAGAGAACTGGGGGTCAACATTGGGTACCATGAAAATTGGATGCTAAACTGAAGATTGTATATATATGATCCCGTCTCCCGCCCATAAGACCCCCCCCGAATGGGTTGGGTCCCCCAGGAATACACCTCTACCTGGTATTTTGCTGGTATTTGGTACCTCTTGGCATATCTACCCATGCAATGCACATACTAAAGTCAAACTCCCTACCTACAGCACGACCTGTTCCTACATATGTGTGTGTGTCTATATATATATAATCCCTTTCATACCCGATAAACAATCTTGCTATATCTTATGCCTGTATACTACCTATATACTATCTACATGCTATATATGCCCTATCTACATTAAACCTGTATACTATCTAAATACTATCTAGAGGCTATCTAAAAGATCTACATACCATCTATATACTATCATTTATGCTACCTATATTCTATCCTATATTTCTACTACCTATCTTATATCTGTACTTTCTTATGTTTTTTGCATATTTAATGCGTATATATATATATACATACATACAATATAAAGAATATGCCTACACATACCCAGTATCTTATACTATCTTGTGTCAATATAGCCCTCACACACTGGACCGCACCCACCCACAGGGAGCGGGGAGGGGGGAGGAAGAGAGAATCCCCACTACATATACCCACTTATATACCTACTGTATATGTATATACTTGATATATGATATATATATATATGTATATATATATATCCTTTACTTACATACCTACCCCACAGGGGGGAGGGGCAGATCACCGGTATCTATATATTCCTTTACACCCCCATATCATCTCTACCCGTGGACCTGTAGACCCATACCCTTTGGGGGGTGGGGGAACAGGGAGGGCTGCATCATAATAAACTTCCGTGTGTGTATCATGTATAGCTATATGTATGTATGTATGTATGTATGTATGTATGTATGTATATATGTATGTATGTACGTATGTATGTATGTATAGCTAAATGTATGTATAGCTATATGTATGTATGTATGCATGTATGCATGTATGTATGTATGTATGTATCATGTATAGCTATATGTATGTATGCATGCATGCATGTATGTATGTAGGTATGTATGTACGTACGTACGTACGTACGAATGTATTAATGTAATGTTATGTAATGCAATGTAATGTCAGGTAAGGTAATGTATGTATGTATGTAATGGTATGTATGTAAGGTAAGGTAAGGTAAGGTCAGGTCAGGTAAGGTAAGGTAAGGTAAGGTAGGGTGGGTATGTATGTATGTATGTATGCATGTATGTATGTATGCATGTATGTATCTATGTACGTATGTATGTATGTCTGTCTGTATGTATGTATCTATGTATGTATCTATGTATGTATCTATCTATGTACGTACGTATGTACGAATGTGCGTTTGTACGTATGTATGTACGTATGTATGTACGTATGTATGTACGTATGTCTGTACGTACTGTACGTACTGTATGTACTGTATATACTGTATGTACTGTATGTACTGTATGTACTGTATGTACTGTATGTACTGTATGTACTGTATGTACTGTATGTACTATATGTACTGTATGTACTGTATGTACTGTATGTACTGTATGTACTGTATGTACTGTATGTACTGTATGTACTGTATGTAATGTATGTAATGTATGTAATGTATGTATGTATGTAATGTATGTAATGTATGTAATGTATGTAATGTATGTACTGTATGTACTGTATGTACTGTATGTACTGTATGTACTGTATGTACTGTATGTACTGTATGTACTGTATGTACTGTATGTACTGTATGTATGTATGTATGTATGTATGTATGTATGTATGTATGTATGTATGTATGTATGTATGTATGTATGTATAGCTATATGTATGTATAGCTATATGTATGTATAGCTATATGTATGTATAGCTATATGTATGTATGTATGTATGTATGTATGTATGTATGTATGTATGTATGTATGTATCTATGTATGTACGTATGTACGTATGTACGTATGTACGTATGTACGTACGTATGTATGTATGTAGGTAAGGTAAGGTAAGGTAAGGTAAGTTAAGGTAAGGTAAGGTAGGTAAGGTAAGGTAGGGTGGGTATGTGTGTATGTATGTATGTATGTACGTACGTACGTACGTATGTATGTATGTACTGTATGTACTGTATGTACTGTATGTACTGTATGTACTGTTTGGTACGCTACTACGGTACTGTACTGTACTGTAATGTACTGTAATGTACTGTAATGTACTGTAATGTACTGTAATGTACTGTAATGTACTGTAATGTAATGTATGTACACAGAAAGTTGTTCTCAAAGTCAACCTTGTTATCCCTGGCCCCTGGCCTGATGATATCTCAGCCTCATTCACCGCGAAAACGCCGCGGCAAGACCGATGATGTTTGCGTGTGTTTTGGATATGGTTGGATTACTGCAACCCAGAAGAAATAGTAAAATATGATAAAATCGTACTAAAGTAGCAATAAAGTGCTGGGGAAGGCTACTAAAAAATGGACATCTGGATCAAAATCTGGTACTGCACCAGGTTCCCACGGCTCCATACCGGTAAGATGAACGGTTCCCATGGCTGGAGACCTCCTCGATCTGTAAGTCTTCTTTGAGCTTCAAATGGAACCTTGGCACGTGGCCAAACCATAATTGTTGGGCTCAGTCGAATTTCAGAAACTGTGATCAATAGACAAAACATCTATGACGGATATGTGTATAATTAAAGCTGTATGGGTTGATAGAAATTAGATTGGATTGGATTGGAAAAGATTCATAGATCAGATTAATTTCGATGAGACTAGATTATGTAGAAAGGTAGGGCATATGGATAGACGGATAGACGGATAGACGGATAGATGGATGGATGGATGGATGGGATGGGATGGATGGGATGGATGGGATGGATGGGATGGATGGGATGGATGGGATGGATGGGATGGATGGGATGGATGGATGGACGGATGGATGGATAGGTAGCTAGCTAGATAGATAGATAGGTCGATAGATAATGTAGATAGAGAGGTACATAGAGAGGCAGATAGATGGGCAGTTTTGACAAATCAGACAGACGAATAGAAAGAGAGATGGAGACATAATTGTATGTAGATTCAGATATAGTTCTACCCAAAACGATCCTTTAAGTGAGGAAAGCATTGGTCAAATCGCTCGGAATCATAGGGTCAAACACATAATTCCCCATCCTTCGACAACGCCACGGAACTTTTCCAGCTGCTCCTGCTGCTGCTGTACTTTGCCAGCCAGCTCCTGCAGCCAAATGGCTGGGAATGTGCCAAAAAAACTAGCGATTTAGACGCAACAAAACAACAGCAACACCCTGTGACCACACTGTCGGCCTTGCGCGCGCTTCGCTCAACTTCGAGGATCTCATGAAAATCCCGGAGTTTCTGATCTTGTCGGCTCACACCTGCGCAGCGCCGGGCTGGAAAGACTAGAAGCACTTTAGGACCAAAGAATCTACAGAGGGATGGATTCTTGCCAAATTAAAGGACCGGATAACCCCACATGTCAACTTCTTCCAACAAGCAGCAAAAGAAAGGTAAAGATAGCATGGGGAAAGCAGGAAAGAGAAAAGAGATGGTGAAGGATTGGTGCGGAGCAAGTTGTGTGTGGAAGATTAAGTACGAGTGATTGATTTCCAGCTAGATAAACAATACTGAACACACTAATCCAATAACATCAAGTCGCCTCAGACAGCGCCAGCTCTTTCGCAATAACATCCACGTATAGACCGATATGAGTAAGTTGTGCATGCATGTATGCATGCATGCATGCATGTATGTATGTATGCATGTATGTATGAATGTATGTATGTATGTATGTCTGTATGTATGTGTGTATGTATGTATGCACGTATTGAACAACACCACCCCTGGGAACCAAGCGCGCCACCGGAGCCAACCCAGTGCCATAAGTGCCACGCCTGCCACGCAAAGTGACGATCCATGTGTTGACAAGTGCCACGCCTGCCACGCAAAGTGACGATCCATGTGTTGACAAGTGCCACGCCTGCCACACAAAGTGAAGGTGGATGTCACAAAGCGCCACGCCTGCCACGCAAAACGCCGCGGCGTCCCAGCGCAGCCTGGGAACCAAGCGCGCCACCAGCGCCAACCCAGTGCCATAAGTGCCACGCCGTGCCACGCCTGCCACGCAAAGTGACGATCCATGTGTGAGCAAGTTGTATGTGAGGAAGTTGTGTGTGAGTAAGTTGCCAACCAAGTGCCATAAGTGCCACGCCTGCCACGCAAAGTGACGATCCATGTCATCAAGTGCCACGCTTGCCACACAAAGTGCAGGTGGACGTCACAAAGTGCCACGCCTGCCACGCGAAACGCCGCGGCGTCCCAGCGCGGCCTGGGAACCAAGCACGCCACCAGAGCCAACCCAGTGCCATAAGTGCCACGCCTGCCACGCAAAGTGACGATCCATGTGTTTACAAGTGCCACGCCTGCCACACAAAGTCAAGGCAGATGTCACGAAGTGCCACGCCTGCCACGCAAAATGCCTCGGCGTCACGGCGCCATGGCTGACCAAGCGCGCCGCCAGAGCCAACCCAGTGCCATAAGTGCCACGCCTGCCACGCAAAGTAACAATCGATGTCGTCAAGTGCCACGCCTGCCACACAAAGTGAAGGCCGATGTCTCGAAGTGCCACGCCTGCCATGCAAAACGCCGCGGCGTCACGGCGCCATGGCTGACCAAGCGCGCCGCCAGAGCCAACCCAGTGCCATAAGTGCCACGCCTGCCACGGAAAGTGACGATCCATGTGTTGACAATTGTATGTGAGCAAGTTGTATGTGAGCAAGTTGTATGTGAGGAAGTTGTGTGTGAGTAAGTTGTGTGTGGACAAGTTGTGTGTAAACAAGTTGTGTGTGCGTAAGTTGTGTGTGATTAAGTTGTCTGTGCGCAAGTTGTGTGTGTGTGTGCAAGTTGTGTGTGGACAAGTTGTGTGTAAACAAGTTGTGTGTGTGAGTAAGTTGTGTGTGTGTGAGTAAGTTGTGTGTGTGTGTGCAAGTTGTGTGTGAGTAAGTTGTGTGTGTGTGCAAGTTGTGTGTGTGTGTGCAAGTTGTGTGCGACTAAGTTGTGTGTGTGCAAGTTGTGTGCGTGACTAAGTTGTGTCGGGAGAGGAGGCGACGGGAGCGGGAGGAGCGGGAGGAGGCGGACGGGATGCAGAACCAAAAACAAGAACCCCACACAAAGATGTGGGGAAAAAGAAGATAGAACACATAAGCGGATAAGAGAAAGGAACCCAATGATTCCTATTGTATACCCTAGCGTTGACAAATCAACGGTTGATTTTACAGCAAAGTCATCTCTGGAAAGGCCATTGTGAGCACTGTGAGCAATGTTCCAAAACCGCGGTTTGTCATTCCAGAAATAAACTGGTTGGCTAAGAACGGGATTCGAATCTGGATTTTGATGATCTCCTCTATGATAAAGAATGTGTAGATATTATCCGCCGACCCCAGCCGATGGCAGGGGGAGCGCGTCCGAGGAGCACCCTGCCATCGGCCAGGGCATGCCCAAATGCTCCGCGGCGCCCTTGCCGAGGACTTTTGCACCATTCTGGTGGCTTTTGCACCAGTCTAGGCGCTTTCCAACCGGTTTTCTAGTGGCTTCAGAAAGCAACGTTAGGCACTAGCCTGCCTCCAAATGCTCCGCGGCGCCCTTGCCGGAGGCTTTTGCACCATTCTGGTGGCTTTTGCAGCAGTCTGGGCGCTTTCCAAGAAGTTTTCTAGTGGCGTCAGAAAGCAACGTTAGGCACTAGCCTGCCTCCAAATGCTCCGCTGCGCCCTTGCCGGAGGCTTTTGCACCATTCTGGTGGCTTTTGCACCAGTCTGGGCGCTTTCCAAGCGGTTTTCTAGTGGCTTCAGAAAGCAACGTTAGGCACTAGCCTGCCTCCAAATGCTCCGCGGCGTCCTTGCCAGAGGCTTTGCACCAGTCTGGGCGCTTTCCAAGGGCTTTCCAAGAAGTTTTCTAATGGCTTCAGAAAGCAACGTTAGGCACTACCCTCCTCCAAATGCTCTGCGGCGCCCTTGCCGGAGGCTTTTGCACCAGTCTGGGCGCTTTCCAAGGGATTTTCTCGTGGCTTCAGAAAATAATGTTAGGATATGTTAGGCACTAGCCTGCCTCCAAATGCTCCGCGGCGCCCTTGCCGGAAGCTTTTGCACCATTCTGAAGGCTTTTGCACCAGTCTGGGCGCTTTCCAAGCGGTTTTCTAGTGGCTTCAGAAAGCAACTTTTGCACCAGTCTGACGCTTTCCAAGGGGTTTTCTAGTGGCTTCAGAAAGCAACGTTAGGCACTAGCCTGCCTCCAAATGCTCCGCGGCGCCCTTGCCGGAGGCTTTTGCACCATTCTGGTGGTTTTGCACCAGTCTGGGCGCTTTCCAAGGGCTTTCCAAGAAGTTTTCTAGTGGCTTCAGAAAGCAACGTTAGGCACTAGCCTGCCTCCAAATGCTCTGCGGCGCCCTTGCCGGAGGCTTTTGCACCATTCTGGCGGCTATTGCACCAGTCTGGGCGCTTTCCAACCGGTTTTCTAATGGCTTCAGAAAGCAACGTTATGCACTAGCCTGCCTCCAAATGCTCCGCGGCGTCCTTGCCGGAGGCTTTTGCGCCAGTCTGGGCGCTTTCCAAGGGCTTTCTTAAGAAGTTTTCTAATGGCTTCAGAAAGCAACGTTAGGCACTAGCCTGCCTCCAAATGCTCCGCGGCGCCCTTGCCAATTCTGGTAGCTTTTGCACCAGTCTGGGCGCTTTGCAAGAGGTTTTCTAGTGGCTTCAGAAAGCAACGTTAGGCACTCGCCTGCCTCCAAATGCTCCGCCGCGTCCTTGCCAGAGGCTTTTGCACCAGTCTGGGCGCTTTCCAAGGGCTTTCCAAGAAGTTTTCTAATGGCTTCAGAAAGCAACGTTGGGCACTAGCCTGCCTCCAAATGCTCCGCGGCGCCCTTGCCGGAGGCTTTTGCACCAGTCTGACGCTTTCCAAGGGATTTTCGCGTGGCTTCAGAAAATAATGTTAGGCACTAGCCTGCCTCCAAATGCTCCGCGGCGCCCTTGCCGGAAGCTTTTTTGCACGATTCTGAGCGCTTTTGCACCAGTCTGGGCACTTTCCAAGCGGTTTTCTAGTGGCTTCAGAAAGCAACGTTAGGCATTAGCCGGCCTCCAAATGCTCCGCAGCGCCCTTGCCGGAGGCTTTTGCACCAGTCTGGGCGCTTTCCAAGGGGTTTTCTCGTGGCTTCAGAAAGCAACGTTAGGCACTGGCCTGCCTCCAAATGCTCCGCGGCGCCCTTGCCGGAGGCTTTTGCACCAGTCTGGGCGCTTTCCAAGAGGTTTTCTATTAGCTTCAGAAATCAACGTTAGGCACTAGCCTGCCTTCAAATGCTCCGCGGCGCTTTTGCCGGAGGCTTTTGCAGGTCTGCCGTTGTGACCTTAAAGACAGCTGATCCACTTTACTCATACCAACCGTTCTCCCGGAAACATTCTCTGAATGAAACACTATGAAAATTCTTTGTATACATCTGTTTGCAGTAGTTTAGTCATGAATCGAATCTACTTGGATCACTCTTGTTTGTTTGAGACCTTGTAGTACCAACATGTCCCAACTCATTCACGTTGGCTTCTTGCCTGTGCCACAATCAAAGTACAAATTGTTACACTGAGTTGCGACTCGTTACATCAACTCAAGTCCACTTGCGCTGACTGGCGCATGTTTCTTACAAAAACGTCCAAAAAGATCCCGCTTTGGGTGATCATATATTCATTGCCTACACGCACTACATCAGTCGTCTGCAAGGGCCTAGGCGAGGTGTCTCCAAACGCATTTTGTAAATATTCATGTCGTCAATATCATCTGTATTCTGTTTAGATAACGTGTCTGATATCATCTCATACCATATCATATCACATCATATCAGATAATTGTTTGCTCTGTTATATAGATTTTATTGTATTGTATCACATCGTATCGTATTACGTTATGTCATATTGCGTTATACTATGTCATTCTATATTAAATTAGGTAGGGCGTGTGCCTAGTGCGTATTATGTTTGTTATTTAAAGTTGTGTGGTTGTGTGTCATTTGACAATATGTACGTTAAACACAGAAGAAACATACATACCATACCATTCCATGCCATTCCATACCACGTATGAGGATACCACCAATGGATCGTTCCTTTCACTGCACTGGGGTCGGCGGCAGGGGGCGGTAGCCCTTTAATTGTAAAGCTATGTTTTTCTACCCCCCAACTAGTCATCAACCAACAGGGCATGGGGTACAGCCTTGAACAGCCAGGTCCATCTCTTGGAACGTGGACTGCTGACGATACAGCGTCTTCTTCACATTGTCAAACTCCTGGTCAGACGATGAATTTTATTCGCAAAAGACTTATATATGGGTCAACAATCATATTCTCACCTTCCCAAAAAAAATGCCAAAAATGGATAGATGGTTGAATCAAATTTTGTGTCGAGCCAGTTTTCAGTGCTCCTCTTCCATCCGTTGCCGCAAACTGGCGCGGTCCAGCATGGCGAAGTCCAACTTGGTGTGTGCCTCTGAGGCCATCGAATAGACCTGAGAAGGTGAGTTGGTGCGGTTAATTGCTGCTTCAGAAACAGCCAATGATGGCCGGGGACTAGCTACCAAGTTGTATGCGGGGGCCAAAAACATGCAGAATTGTTAGGATTGAAGTGCCAGAAATTAGGGAAGAGTAAGGCTTCAACCCACAAGAATTGGGATATTAACCACTTACGACCAGATCGTTTCATAGCCTTTACATCTATCAACACTGGGTTTTGCCCGCACTCAATTTATGGAGCTTTGAACAAACTAATTACCGCCGCCCATCATCTGTACTGCAAGCCCAGCCAGTGTTGGGCTGCGAACTAATCAAGCAGGATTTTGGAAACTTCATACATAAGACTTGAGATTGGAAATAGGCTCGCCAAAAAAAAACAAGGTGGGCCAGAGAACCCAAAAGAAAGACGGCACACAGCACGATTTTTTTGAAAATCTTGTGGCGTGTGCTCTGCACGAAATCGACGTAAGATCTTTACTGAAACATCGTGCGCGCTGATGGTATCAGGGGCCGCAATTCACCACAGCATGCTGTGTCAGCTACGTCTACATTCTTCTAGTCGCTATTTCTGCTAATGTAATTAACTCTATCCCATCTTTTTAGCCGCTATAATTCCTGCGTTCTCGTTTAGTTTGCTTCGCCGCAGAGGGAGCGAGGACGAAGCGTCGACGGACAGAACACCGTGCAAAATGAAAACTAAACGACGGAGGGAGCTGACCAAAAGAGCATGAAAACGAAGATATGAAGGTGATAGGTGGTGAATGATAGTGAAAAATGAGACATGATGAAAAATGGGTAAAGACTTCTCTGTACAAAAGATTCTTTGCATAAATGCTTCTGTATGTAAAAGCTCCTCTGTGTTAAGATTTTGTTTGTGTAAAACTTCTGTGTGCAAAAGCTTCTCTGTGTAAAAGACTTCTCTGTGTCAAAGCCTCTGAGTGTACAAGCTTCTCTGTGTAAAAGTTCCTCTGGGTAAAAGCTCCTCGGTGAAAAAGCTGCTCTGTGTAAAAGGCTTCTCTGTGTAAAAGCCTCTGTGTGTGTGTGCAAGCTTCTCTGTGTCAAGATTTCTTTGTGTAAAGATTTCTCTGCGTAAAAACTACTCTGTGTAAACGCTTCTGTGTGAAAAAGCTTTCCTGTGTAAACGCCTCCGTGCGTAAAGACTCCTCTGTGTAAACCTGTCTGTGTGTAAAAGCTCCATTGTGTAAAGGCTTGTGTAAAAGCTTCTGTGTGTACAAGTTTCTGTGTGTAAAAGTTTCTGTGTGTAAAGCTTCTGTGTGTAAAGGTTTCTGTGTGTAAAAGCTTCTGTGTATTAAAAAAACCCTATGTAAAAGCTTCTGTGTAAAAAAGCTCCCCTTTGTCCTGTGTGTACAAGCTTCGCTGCGTAAAAGCTGCTCTATGTATATAAAAGTTCTGTGCGCCGTAAAGTCTTCTGTTTGTATAAAACCTCCTGTGTGTGAACGCGTCTGTGTGTACAAGATTCTGTGTGCAAAAGCCGTGCTGTCTCGGTCCCTCCCACCGAAGATCTCCCCAAGCTATTTCCACGCTTTCCTCCCAGCAAAGCTCTCCCCAAACTATTTCCACGGTTTCCCCTCCGTCCAGCATGCTGTCTCGCTCCCTCCCGGCGAAGCTTTCCGCAAGCTATTTGCACTGTTCCCTCTCCGTCCCGCATGCTGGCTCGCTTCCTCCCAGCAAAGCTCTCCGCAAGCTATTTCCAACGTTTCCTGTCCGTCCAGCATGTCTCGCTCCCTGCCAGCGAAGCTCTCCACACGCTATTTGCACGTTATTTCCTCTCCGTCCAGCATGCTGTCGCGCTCCTTCCCAGCGAAGCTCAATGCAAGCTATTGCCACTGTTTTGTGTCCCGTCCAGCATGCTGTCTCGCTCCCTCCCAGCGAAGCTCTCCGCAAGCTATATTTGCACGGTTTCCTCTCCGTCCAGCGTGCTGTCTGGCTCCCTCCCAGCGAAGTTTCCCCAAGCTATTTCCACGGCTTCATCCCGTCCAGCATCCGGTCTCGCTCCCTCCCACAGCGAAATTTCCCCAAGCTATTTCCACGGCTTCATCCCGTCCAGCATCCGGTCTCGCTCCTTCCCAGCGCAGTTTCCCCAAGCTATTTCCACGGCTTCATCCCGTCCAGCATCCGGTCTCGCTCCCTCCCAGCGAAGTTTCCCCAAGCTATTTTCCACGGTTTTGTCCCGTCCAGCATACTGTCTCGCTCCCTCCCAGCGAAGTTTCCCCAAGCTATTTCCACGACTTCATCCCGTCCAGCATCCGGTCTCGCTCCCTCCCAGCGAAGTTTCCCCAAGCTATTTCCACGGCTTCATCCCGTCCAGCATCCGGTCTCGCTCCCTCCCAGCGAAGTTTCCTCAAGCTATTTCCACGGCTTCATCCCGTCCAGCATCCGGTCTTGCTCCCTCCCAGCGAAGTTTCCCCAAGCTATTTCCACGGCTTCATCCCGTCCAGCATCCAGTCTCGGTCCTTCCCAGCGAAGTTTCCCCAAGCTATTTCCACGGCTTCATCCCGTCCAGCATCCGGTCTCGCTCCCTCCCAGCGAAGTTTCCCCAAGCTATTTCCACGGCTTCATCCCGTCCAGCATCCGGTCTCGCTCCCTCCCAGCCAAGTTTCCTCAAGCTATTTCCACGGCTTCATCCCGTCCAGCATCCGGTCTCGCTCCCTCCCAGCGAAGTTTCCCCAAGCTATTTCCACGGCTTCATCCCGTCCAGCATCTGGTCTCGCTCCCTCCCAGCGAAATTTCCCCAAGCTATTTCCACGGCTTCATCCCGTCCAGCATCCGGTCTCGCTCCCTCCCAGCGCAGTTTCCCCAAGCTATTTCCACGGCTTCATCCCGTCGAGCATCCGGTCTCGCTCCCTCCCAGCGCAGTTTCCCCAAGCTATCACGGCTTCATCCCGTCCAGCATCCCGGTCTCGCTCCCTCCCGGCACAGTTTCCCCAAGCTATTTCCACGGCTTCATCCCGTCGAGCATCCGGTCTCGCTCCCTCCCAGCGAAGTTTCCCCAAGATATTTCCCCAAGCTATTTCCACGGCTTCATCCCGTCGAGCATCCGGTCTCGCTCCCTCCCAGCGAAGTTTCCCCAAGCTATTTCCACGGCTTCATCCCGTCCAGCATCCGGTCTCGCTCCCTCCCAGCGAAGTTTCCCCAAGCTATTTCCACGGCTTCATCCCGTCCAGCATCCGGTCTCGCTCCCTCCCAGCGAAGTTTCCCAAGCTATTTTCACGGCTTCATCCCGTCCAGCATCCGGTCTCGCTCCCTCCCAGCGAAGTTTCCCCAAGCTATTTCCACGGCTTCATCCCGTCCAGCATCCGGTCTCGCTCCCTCCCAGCGAAGTTTCCCCAAGCTATTTTCCACGGCTTCATCCCGTCCAGCATCCGGTCTCGCTCCCTCCCAGCGAAGTTTCCCCAAGCCATTTCCCCGGCTTCATCCCGTCCAGCATCCGGTCTCGCTCCCTCCCAGCGAAGTTTCCCCAAGCTATTTCCCCAAGCTATTTCCACGGCTTCATCCCGTCGAGCATCCGGTCTCGCTCCCTCCCAGCGCAGTTTCCCCAAGCTATTTCCACGGCTTCATCCCGTCGAGCATCCGGTCTCGCTCCTTCCCAGCGCAGTTTCCCCAAGCTATTTCCACGGCTTCATCCCGTCCAGCATCCGGTCTCGCTCCCTCCCAGCGAAGTTTCCCCAAGCTATTTCCACGGCTTCATCCCGTCCAGCATCCGGTCTCGCTCCCTCCCAGCGAAGTTTCCCCAAGCTATTTCCACGGTTTTGTCCCGTCCAGCATCCGGTCTCGCTCCCTCCCAGCGCAATTTCCCCAAGCTATTTCCACGGCTTCATCCCGTCCAGCATCCGGTCTCGCTCCCTCCCAGCGAAGTTTCCCCAAGCTATTTTCCACGC